GCAGCAGTGATTGTTGGGTGGGGGGAGGACTAGGCTGCTTTTGTGCATGTTCACCTCATGGCTTCTTGGGCAACCACTGTGGTGAATAAGCTCCTTATTGATTGGACATCTCACCCCAGAATATGGTGTAGGAGGTCCTCCTGCATTCGTGTGGCTGAAGATGGAAGCAGAGAACACTGTGTCCTCCAAGGTAAAGGATGATCACGAGGTCTTTGCTGGTGAGAGACACAACACAGCTGATGCAGATCCAGGTGCCCTGTCTGGTACAGGCTCTTGGCATCAGGGAAGTCTAGCTGATCAATGCAGTATTTCAGTGGGTTGTTTGCCCACACACAACATCTCCTATGGAGAAGGGAGCTGGGACCCACAAGTTAAAGAGTGCGCGTATTTTTAATGGAGGGAAAGGGAGCTTGGCTGAAAATAATGTTTCAAAGTTTAAAGAATAGATCCCACCAGTGGCATGTGAAAGGTTTCCATTCAGGGATTCCTTACTGGGCTCCTCCTCCTGCTGCCTCTTCCAGTGGGGCCACTCTGTAGTTAGTCAAAGGCTATGCCTGCCTATTCGGCACCCTCGCGCAGCAGCAGAGTCTCCACCGGCAATCTCTGGTTGCCCTCATCATTGCCCTGAAACACCCGATGTTGTTAGCCGAAGATGGTCCAGATGGCAGGGGCATGTCGTTTCTGCAGCCGACACATGGGGCAGACGCAGCCTTAGTCAGTAGGGCATGGGCAGAAGTGGGGATCTTCTTCTGGGAACACCATAGAGGCATGGGGGCCCTTCTGGCCATCATCTGCCCTCATAGGCCAAAGGTGGGCTCACTGGCATTTCATTCCAGGTAACGACCAGTTGTTGAAGGAGGTACTGGAAATGGTGGAGGGGCAGGGTCTGCCTGCGTGGCTGAGGTGGTGGAGTGAAGCCTGTGATCTGCCAGTTCTTTTAATATTAAATACATCCCCATTATTTTGTCGTGTTTCCTGTTCCTCAGGGACTCAAAGATGATGTTTCTTGGACAGCCATGACTAATTAGGTTGTCTATTATTTTTGGATCTAGATAGGGCTCCCTCTGGATGTTTATTTTAGAACACCTGACCCATGGGTTTTGGATGATGGCTTCGATGAAGGGTCTCCTCTCTGGGGCAACCGTTAGAATTTGGTGAATAAGGTTTTCTAATGGTGCAGGCATGTCATCTGGGATGTCATAGTTGCCAATGACAATTGTTTTCCTCAACTTCTGTCAGGGTGCTTCCTCTGAAAGGGTGATACCCAGTGGTAACCAAATACAGAACCACTTCAAGGCTCCATACGTCTGCCTTCTTTCCATCATATTCTTCCCTTAGTAACAGTTCTGGGGCATTACAGATTTTGGTTTCAAATGCCCTTTTAGCACGGTGCCAGCTGCACATCTGGTAGCAAGGCCACAGTCCCCAAGCTTTTATTTTGTTCTCTACGTGTAGAAGAATATTTATCAGATTTTAGGTGTCGGTGGATGATGTTTTGGTCATGGCAGTACTTTAAGGCTGACACTAGCTGTCCAAATGTTGTTCTTGCCTTCGCAGTTCTAATAATAGGTATGTCCCCATAATCTTAGAGGCATAAGCTGGGATGGAATCAAGATGCTGCCCCCATGTCAGAGTCAGGTCTAGGTGCCAGGCGCATTTCCTCTTCTAACATGCTACTCTGACACATGAGGTAGATGTAGCATAGATCAGTGGGGCTGGCTCCATGTCATAAGGCTGGTGTCTAGGAAAAAAAATTGTTATTGCTAAAGATGAGTGAGTGTGCCAGAATGAAAAGCAGGTAGGCCCTTCATTGTGGCATCTTGGAAAACCAAAGGGTAGAAGGTCTTGTCTGCTGGACAGACCAAGTATCTTGAGTAGGCACCCACTTGAGCCTGGATGGATGGTACCACCATGGGTGTCCCAAGAGCTTGGCAGCCGAGGGGTTGGTGAGGATTACTGTGTGAAGTCCTGTCCATCGAGGTTTGAAAGACCTAGTAGTTAACTGTTTGAGAAGTACTCTGTCTCCTGGGTAGAGTGGGGCAGGCTTAGGGTCATTAGGGTCCACTGGTGTCGTGGCAGGAAGACAACTGTCAGCGTGTGAATGGAGAACGGACCTTAAAAGGGAGAGGTAGGGTAGGTACCCTGCCAGTGGAGGAGTTTGAACTGGGAGGTGATGGTTAAAGAGAAAGGGCCTGCCATAAAGCAACTCAAAAGAGCTCAGGCCCATAGGGGAATGTGGGGTGGCCCTGAGACAAGTCAGGGCAATGGGGAGAAGGGAGGGCCAAGATAACCTGAGTTCAATGAAGAGCTTGGTTAGTTGTTTGAGTCCCATTGTCCACGAGATGGTGAGAGCTTCTGACATGAGCTCCATCACACCTTCTGTTTCCCTGGAGACTGGAAATGCTTCTATCCATCCTGTAAAAGTGTCCACAAGTGTTAAGAGATAAGAGAGTTTTTTATGAGTAGGCATATGGGTGAAATTAACCTGTGAATCTTTGACTGGTTGGTGTCCACGAAGCTGCTGTATGTGGAGAGCTCCTTGTGGGTTGGCCTGGGCACACGTCTGGCAGGAGGAGTGAACCTGTCAAATAGAATCTTGGGGATGGGTGAGGTTAAAAGGGGGCTCCACAAAGTGGAACAAAGCTTTGGGGAAATGGCTAAGGATATCTCCACCCAGTAAATGTGCTGGGCAAGCCGGTATCACTAAGAAAGAATGAGAAAAAAACATATCCTGCAAGATGATAGGGCAGTGGCAAAGTTTTAAGAGGGGAGGAATGGGTCCCATCTACCTCCATAGCTGAAATTGGTGAGGGAAACTTAAGGCCTGAGTGAGAATAAAAGTAATGGACTTACCTGCCTTTTGCAGCATGACCCTAGGCTCAGAGAGGGTTACAGGATATACAAAGTCTGGGCAGTGTCAATCCTCTGCAAGGCTGGCACAGTTTCACTTGCCGATGGTGATGACGCCGGACCTCCGTGGCTTAGCATTGAGGACAAGCCCACACGGGGGCACTGTGATTTCCAGTGTCCAAGTTGTTGGCAGATAGGACACAGCCTTGTAGCAGGTGCAGTGCAATGTCGTGCCATGTGCCCATTTAGGCCACACTTGATAGAGCCCTGTGGTTGGCTTCCCTTGTCCCCCTTCCTGTGACCTTAGGGCAGCTGCTAAGGCCTGTGCCTGTAGATTGTTGTAGCTTTGTCTGTCAGGAAGACTCAGCTGATTCCTCTTGGGCATTAAAACTTTAAAGGCCATTTTTACCAACTCAATTTGGGGACTATCCTCAACCTTTCTTAACTCTTTCCTAATATGTGGTATTGACTGAGGAAGCAGAATGATTAGTAGAAAAGGAACCTAGCTGCTTTTCTATCTGAGAGAGATTTGGAAGAGAAAAGGGGGTATGGGAGGGGCTAGCCCAGTGTGCAGGGGCTCCAGGAGTAGAGCGGTAAGATAGGAGGGGGAGGGGACGGTGGAAGTTCACCTGTAACCTCTGAATTGGAAAAAGGAGGGGAACAAATGTTGCTCCATGGGAGGGGATTGGGAAGTGTGGACTTGAGGGAGTGGGGGAGAGGCCAGTGCCTCTGGCAGTGTGGTGCTGTGAAACACTGGCTACTAAGGGGTGGGGGGGGGCGAGAGCACAGAGACTATAAGTAAGCTCTGTTCATTTGTATCAGACAGGCTTATTTAAAAAGGTTTTTGGTGGGCTGGAGAGATGGCTCAGTGGTTAAGAACACTAGCTGCTCTTCCGAGAGGTCGTGAGTTCAATTCCCAGCAACCACATGGTGGCTCACAACCATCTGTAATGAGATCTGGCGCCCTCTTTTGGCGTGTGGGCATACATGGAGGCAGAATGTTGTATGCACAATAAATAAATAAATCTTTAAAAAAAATAAAAATGTTTTTGAACGAGGCTTACAGGGGCAACAGCGGACCTGGACCTAGCTTTGAACTGTAAGCGCCCATTTTAAAGTCTATGCCCAACCACGTGGCCTAAGTCCATTTCAGCATGTCCACCAAAATGTCTCTAAGTCCAAAAGGGGCAACGGACATTGAATGCCCAGCGTCCCAGGACAGACAGATCTCTGCCTCAGCCAAGCCTGATCCCACGGGATTGACCGCCACCTGGGGCTCAAATTCCTGACGTGAGTTCACGACTTCAACAGGAATCCCAAAACGACAAAAATAAGTACGAATGGGTCCCCCAAACCTTATAGCATAGATAAGAAAAGGGACTCACCAAGATGCAGCCACTGTAGCCCAGAAGTGGGGTTTTAAGCGTGGCTTAGCCCAAGATTGTAGACTGGGGGCCTTTCAACATGTGGCCTGCCTCATGGAAAGGGCCTGCCCTGTCTCAGTGGAACCTCCAAAATGTTAGGAATATTTCCTAACGTGAGCTTCCTGCCGATGCAAAATTCCCAATCAAGCCAAATCTAAACAAGCCAAATTAAGAAATATCCAGGTTTAATGCAAGTTCCACGCTCTTGGGTGGAGGAGGGGGAAATCGGAAGCCACAGAAATGTGACCCCCTGGAGGAAGAAAGGGAGACCACGTGTTCCTTGTTCGGGAGATCACTTAAATAACCTGGGGAGTGGTCCTGACCCCTCCCTGGGGATGGGGTCAGGACCTGGCCTGCTGGGTTTTAGAGTCTAGACCAGGCCTGGGTGCTGGGATAGATGTGAGGGGCTAGGTCCTATGCTCCCAACTTGACAGAGGTTTCAAGACCCAACTATAAAGGCCACTGCCACTGTGCTGGTTGGAAGTTCTAAATGAGTAAATTTGTCTCTTTGATCCACTGAAGTAGTAGCTGGGGGATGCTAGTTGCATTTTCATAAGAAGGGGAAAGGTACCTGTGGCCCAACATGGAGACACTCACTATAGACTATAGCCTGCTGTGATTGGAACATTCCAAGCTTTTACCTCAAAAATAGTCACAGACCAGGGAGCTAATTTCAGTTACCTGTGGGACTCCTTCATTGATATCTGCATTCGAATTGTTTTTCAGGCTTTGGCACAACTGTTTCTGGACAGGAGGTCTGCTTTCCCCGGAATAAGGACCTAGACAGGCAACTTAATGTGTTGGACACCATCGACCAGGGTGGACTTGGCACTGGCATGCCATCGCCGTGTTTACAAGCTGGTGGTAAATAAAATGGTAGAAATGACAACGAACACCTTCCTCTAGTCGTGACTGAAGTGGCGGTCCTAAGAAATGATCAAACACCCCACTTCATTTGCCTCTTCCAGATTTTAAATACAGAAAATTATACTTTTATAGTGATGGAGTTCGTGCCAGGAGGAAATCTGAGGGAGCAAATACTGGAAGAAGGCAGGCTGCATGAGGAAAAGGTGCAGAAAATATTCAGACTGCTAGTGTCAGCCGTAGAGTGCCGCCCATGGCCATGGCATCGCCCATCGAGACCGGAAGCCCCAGAACATCCTGCTCGATTAGATGCAGAGGGTGATGTGAAGCTGGGAGACTCTGGCCTCGCCACCAGGTGTGCAGCTGGCACTGTGCTGCAAGGGCGCTGTGGGACTGAGATCTACAATGCTCCAGAACTGGTTCTGAGGAAAGGGGACGATGGGAGGAAGGCAGATATCTGGAGTCTGGGTATAGTGCTCTATTTTATCACCACGGGGCACCACCCCTTCTGAAGAAGCACCCTGAAAGAGATATCCACCCTGAAAGAGATATTGAGAAGAATATATCCAAAGGAAGGTATTACATCACAGCTTACATCTTTAAAAGACTTGATAATCTCTTTCTTTTCAAATGCTCAGTGTTGCCCCAGAGAGGAGGCCCAACATTGAAGACATTCAGCAACATCCATGGGTCAAGAACCCTGAAGGAAACATCCCTAGTGAGCCCTTCCCAGATCCTGTATTTGTAAAAGAGCTCTTTTCCTATGGATTTCCTCTAAAAAGATCATATACTCCTTATATAAAAGAGAATATAATGAGATCATGAGGCCATACCTATTAGAACAGGCACAACAGGAGCTTGACCCCACCACCTCAGTCAAGGCGGGAAACCCTGGCGCTGCACCTCTACCATCTCTGCTACCTGCTTTAACATCTGGTCATCACCTGAGAAGAAGAGCCAGTGAGCCCGCCCACTACTGGCCTTTTCCACACCCAGTCTTCAGAAGAGGATATACCTAATGTCCTGACATTATCAGGGCAGAAGATGACCAGAGGGGCGGGCCCCCATGCCTCTATGTTGTCCCCGGAAGAAGAGCCCCACTTCAAGCCATGCCCCACTGACCAAGGCTGCATCTGCCCCATGTGTCTGCCACAGCATGTTACGGAAGAAATGCCCCTGCCACCTAGACCTGACCCTGACATGGGGACAGCATCTTCCACTCAGAACACCGGGTGCTGCTGGAGACTGAGCAGGGCAATCAGGGTTAGCCTGTCAAGACTGTGTTGCTTCCTGGGGGCCCCAAATACACAAACCCGGCCTGTGTTCAACACCAGAGTGGTTCCACTGAGAGAGGCAGGAGGAGAAACCCAGTAAGGGACCCCTGAGTCCCTGAATGGGGACCTTTCAGATCCCTCTGGTTGGACCTGTTTGTTCCTCTTCATTCTTTGAACATTGGGGTATGTGTGGGGAGTTATGAACTCTTCCCCCCTGAACATTCCCACATCATGCTCAGTTTTCAGAGCTGCCTTCCTCTTCAGTAAAGTGATCCCTGCGGTTGAACTTGTGGGTGCCAGCTCTCTTCTCCATAGATGTATGCAGGCAGACAGCCACTGAAACTGCATTGATCAGCTAGACTTCCCTGATGCCAAGAGCCTGCACCAGACAGGACTCCTGGACCTGCATCAGCTGTGTCTCACCAGCGAAGACCTCGTGATCATCCTTTAGCTTGGAGGACACTGTTCTCTGCTTCCCTCTTCAGTTACCTTGTCTTCTCAACGGCCATTGCCTGGCCCTAGGGTAAGCCTTGCTAATTCAGGAACATGGAGACAGCCTATATTCCCGCACCATCTGTGCGGTCTCTGCTGTCCTCTCTGAGCACTCTGTCCCTTGTGACTCCCTGTGTGGATCATTCTTCCCTTTGTCTGTGCCTTCATCTTCCTTCAGGATCTATCTGTTCGTTGTCAGGGCCTCAGGAAGGTGTGGGTTCTTGGGAATCACCGTCCTTCTCATCCCATGGTTTTCCACCCTCTCACTTCTCCCTCAGCCTCCTGATGCACGTGGACCCCTGGCAGACCATGGTCTCTGTGCAGGACAGGAGGCCATCATCGCTAGGTCAGACATCCTCATCTGCATCATCACCACCATCTTTAATATGGAGGTAAATGGGTGCTGGCCTCTCTCTTCCTCGGCCTGCCACTGTGCCCTGTGACACAGGTCATTCCTTTCAATGTCTAGACCTGGAATTCCTCTGGAGATGGGACTTGGTAAAGGGCCACATGGGCAGAGGTCCTGTCTTTTCAGATCACTGGTTATTTTTAAATGGGAGAAATCTGGGGATCCTGTAGGCCTATATTTCTACATGGTTTGACAGCCATGTTAGTGGTTGGTATCCTTGCCAGACAGGCTGTCACTACCCTAACAAAAGCTCAGGATGTGTTGTTCCATTTCTTTTGTAGATTTGTAGATCGCTTGAGAAGAGTTGTGATTTTCATGCTAGTGACTGAGCTGCAGACCTGACTGTAGTCCTGCTACCCGGAAACAGAATGTTAATGCACTTCCACCTTAGTTTACCTTGGGGGATAAAAGGTGTTTGGATAATAAACATGGGTGATCTTCAGGATTTGAATGAAGCCTCAGACTCCCTTCCGATATCGCTGTGTGAACTGTGTCTCAGTTATTCCCGCGCCTCCACTCTGGTCCAGAGAAGGAAAAGTGGTTTATGTTGGGACATGGGGCCCCGATAGGATCCGTGCTCTTTTCTCGTGCTTCAGTCAGCATGCTGGAGACAAGTTCCCTCAGTGGAATGGCGGTGAGAGCAGCAAGAAGAGGCTCATTGAAACTGCTTCTCCTTGGAAGGTCGCTACTGGAGGATGCTCAGGGCCTCTGAAAGCTCCTCTTTGCTGTCACCTGACACGTGCCATCCCTCAGCTCCTTGTCAGAACTCAATAGGCCATGTACTCTGGGTGCCACAGAGCACCAGTTGGGAGCCAAACTAATGAGATGATCATGAGGTTTGTATTTTTCAGTGTGTTTATATGGTGGATTACTTAGACAGATTTTCATATGTTGAACCATCCTTGCATCTCTGGGATGAAGCCAACTTGATCATGGTGGATAATGGTTCTGACGTGTTCCTGGATTCGGTTTGTCAGTATTTCATTTAGTATTTTTGCATCAATGTTCATGAGTGAGATTGGTTTTTAATTCTCCTTCTTAGTAATGTCTTTCTGTGGTTTGGGTATCAGGGTAATTGTAGCCTCAAGAATTTGGCAATTTTCCTTCTGTTTCTATTGTGTGGAAATACTTGAGGAGTATTGGTATTAGTTCTTTGAAAATCTTGTAGAATTCTGAGCTGAAACCATCTGGTCCTGGGCTCTTTTTGCTTGGGAGACTTTTGATGACTGTTTCTATTTCTTCAGCAGTTATAGGTATGTTTTATTTGCTTATCTGGTCTTGATTTAATTTTGGTAACTGATATTTATCCAGAAAGTTGTCCATTTCCTTTGTTTTCCAATATTGTGGAGTTTTTGAAATATGACCTGATGATTCTCTGTATTTCCTCAGTGTCTGTTATGTCCTCTTTTCATTTCTGATTTTTGTTAAATTTCTCTCTCTGCCTTTTGGTTAGTTTGGATAAAGGTTTGTCTGTTTTGTTGATTTTCTGGAAGAACCAACTCTTTGTCTCACTGATTCTTTGTATTGTTTTGTTTCTATTTTGTTGATTTTAGTTCTCACTTTATTTCCTGCCATCTAGTTCTTTTAGGTGAGTTTGCTTCTTTTTGTTCTAAAGTTTTCAAATGTTCCTGTTAATTTACTAGTGTAGGATCTTTCTAGCCTCTTTGTGTAGGCATTTAGTGAATTTTAGCAAGCCTTTAGTTTCTCCCTTTGTTTCTTCCTTGACCCATTGATGATGCAGGTGAAAATTGCTTAATTTCCATGTGTTCCAGAAAACCCACAGTTTTAAACCATGGTGATCTGATAAGGTACATTGGGTTATTCCAATTTTTTTGTATTTATTGAGGTTTGTTTTGTTACCAAGTATGTGGTCAGTTTTTGAGAAGGTTCTACGTGGTGCCGAGAAGAAGGTATATTCTTTTCTGTTTGGATGGAATATTCTATGGATGTCTGTTAAGTCCATTTGAATCATAATATGTTAGTTCTCTTATTTTTCTGTTCATTTTTGTCTGGTTGACCCGTCCTGTGGTGAGAGGGGAGTTAAGTCTCTCACTATTAGTGTGTGGGGTTTAATGTATGATTTAAGCTTTAGAAGTGTTTCTTTTTCATTGGGGCATAGATGTTCAGTATTGAGATTTCCTCTTGATGGATTTTTCCTGTGACTAATTTGAAATGACCTTCTTTGTCTCTTTTGACTAATTTTAGCTTGAAGTCTATTTTGTTAGCTATTAGGATGGTTACACCCACTTGTTTCTTAGGTCTATTCGATTGGTGTATTTTTTTCCAATCCTTTACTCTGAGAAGATGTCTGTCTTTGAGGTTGAGATGTTTCTTGTATGCAGAAGAAGGATGGATTATGTTTTCATATCCAATCTGTTAGCCTGTGCCTTTTTATAGGTGAGTTGAATCCATTTACATTAAGGGATATTAATGACAAGTGATTGCTGTCTACTGTTAATTTAGTTTTCATTGTTGGTGATGTTAATTTGTGTGCTTTTCCCTTCTTTGGGATTTGCTGCTGTGAGACCATCAATTGTCTTTGTTTTTGTTGGTGTAGCCATCTTCCTTAGGTTGGAGTTTTCCTTCTAGTATTTTTTGTAGGGCTAGATTTTTAGCTAGGTATTGGTGAAATCTAGTTTTGTTATAGAATATCTTGTTTTGTCCTTCTATGGTGATTGAAAGTTTTGCTGGGTATAGTAGTCTGGGCTGGCATCCATGGTCTCTTAATGTGTGCATAACCCTTGACCACAACCTTCTGGCTTTCATTGTCTCCACTGAGAAGTCAGGTGTAATTCTGATGAAATGTCTGCCAGCATTCTCACAGACACCAGAGTATATTAAATAGCACACTGGCCTAGCCCATTTATTATATTTATATAAGCATTGTCAGTGGTTGTAACGGGGGATTCTACTACTGAGCTACATCCCGGTCCCATTTTATTTTTCTATTTTTAGGTTTTGAGATGCCAGGGCTAGAATACATACTGGGCTCTACCACTGAGCCACATTTTCCAATCTAATTTTAAAAATCAAACAATTTTATTTATGGCTATAGTCCAGATACATATTTTTCCAATAAAAAATATTATATCCAAGTATCCTTGGGAGATGTGAAAAAATATTCCTTAACTCTTGTATAGAACTATACTACATACTTCATAGTTTAGTAATAGTAACAATTAATACAACATTGAAAGCAAATATTTTCAAGAGGTTATATTTTAATACTACTTTTAATCAGCATAATTAACACAGAAATAAAAACTGTAATAGAATAGTTTGGAAAGTCTAGGTAGGCGACTTATGTCTGTAATCCCAATATTCAGAGTCTGAGACAAAAGGATTATCACAAGTTCAAGACCAACTAAATATTCTGTTCCAGGTCAGTCTGGGCCACAAAAGAGGGACTCCTGTCACAAAGCAAAAATAAATTAATTAATCAATAATTAAATTAATTAACACAAAGAAATTTAGAAAGTATTTTAAATGTTAATGCTGACAGTTACTTTTTATTTTTAAAGAAAGATTGAAATTCGGGAAAAAATGTTTATGTGAAATTTATCATCTCAATCTTTTTCTTTCTAAATTCCCTTTTTTTAAAAATTTTTATTTATTTATTATGTATACAATATTCTGTCTGCGTGTATGCCCGCAGGCCAGAAGAGGGCGCCAGACCCCATTACAGATGGTTGTCAGCCACCATGTGGGAGTGGTGCTAAGGATAAAATCTAGGACCTCACACACCATGACGGAGCTCTGCTCCCACCTCTGTCTTAATCATCTGAGCACACTGTAGTAGTATTGATTATATTCAGAATGCTGTGCATCACTGCCAGAATTGTTCTCATTCTGCAAGAGCTGAGATCCATGCAGAAACAGCACCTATTTCTCTTCCATTAAACCTCCCCTTTATTAAATGATTAGCTAAAAAGTACAAATGGGGGCTGGAGAGATACTCAGTCAGCTGCTAAAGTGCCTGTTGCACAAACTTGGAGATCTGAGTTCAGAGCAGCAACACAGACGTATGGGCATGTGACCGAAACCCTAGCACTAGATAAAGACGTCTGACATTGACTTCTGGGCCCCATACATGTGCGTGTGTACAAATAACGCACATACACATGCATAATTAAGACAAATACCAATGGAGTTCCAATGCACAGCTGTATCTTTACCTAAGTTCCTGTAAAGTTGGAGCGGATGAATTCCAGATAGTGTCCAGAATCTCATCATTCTTGAGCACTGTGATCTCTGGGAATTCACAAAGCGGTGAGGGCAGAAGCTGCCAAGCTGAACACAAACCTGTGTAGTAGTCGCTACCAGGCAGGAAGGAGATGGCCCAGCTGGCAGCTGAAGCCCTCCCTTTTGGCAGCAATCCAAAGATGGTGAAGAAGCCTAAAACAGCTCCTCATTAGGACTGCGTGGAAGGCCCCATGCCAGTTCTTCCCTGGTGGGCTTATAGTCTGACCATCTGGGAATAGTGACCCTAAACATCTAATACAAAACATATCATCTCTTGGAATCCTTCCAACATCGAGGTCAACCACACTTTGATCTTTGCAGCTAGGAGAGTTGAGGTTAAAGCTGTTACCTAACATGTTGCTCCAACATTGATATGAATGAAGCTGAGGAAACCAGCAGCATGAGCATGTGGGACCCACTGACTGACTGTTGTTCTTACTTTCTTAAGCCACCTACCACAAGCTAAGGCTGCAATACTAGGAAAAGATTATTCCTGCGAGGACCAAGGAAGCAAATCTGGGTTTCAGGTCCTGAAAAATCCCAGCAACTAGTAGAAATGTTATTCCTAAAATTTTATTCATTACACAAGAAGCGATTGCACTAGACTCTTAAGTTTTGGTACTCAAAAAGTTAACTAGAAAAAAGATAAAACTCTTCAATTGGGACAGTAGTGGTTTTGGGAGAGGCTGCTTGTTTGTTTCCAGCTGCCCAGACCACGAAATAATCACACAGAAACTTTATTATTTGCAATACTGTTTGACCAATAGCTAAAGTGTATTTCTGGCTTACTCTTATATCTTAAATTAACCCATTTCTGCTATTTCATATTTTACTATGAGCCTCGTGGCCTACTGGTAAGGTTCTGACTGGCATTTTGAATCTCCGGTGGCAGCTCCATGGCTTCTCCTGACTCTGCCTTCTTTCTCCCAGAATTCAGTTTAGTTTTCCACACCTGGGTAAGTTCTGCCCTGCTATAGACCCAATGCAGTTGTCTTTATTAGTCAACAGTAATCACAGCACATCAGTGGTGGCATGCCTCTAATCCCAGCATGCCGGAAATAGAAGCAGGCAGATCTCTGTGAGCAAACTCTGTATCAAAAGAGCAGGAGAGGAAGACAGCGAGCTTCAACCACCAGCCTCCACACATACATCTGTACACATACAAACTCATACATTCACATACACCAGGCACACACACATACATGCACA